ATCCCAGAAATGCTGATAAAATAAAAAAGGAAAACCATCAGGACTAGGAGCACCTTCAGCATAAGAGCCAAAAACTACATTTTTAATTTCTTCTTCAGAAAAAGGTTTTTCTAAGTACTCAATATGTTCAGCAGTGGCCATGTTAGACTGGTCCCAAAAGTCATCAACTAACTTTAGATTAATAGAAGGAGAGTATCCAAAAAGATTCTTATAATAAGCTACTGCATTGGCAATAATACCTTCAGTGTCTTCAACTGGGCCATTAGCAGTTTCCAGAACAGCAATATGCTTCTTCCTTCTCTTCTGGTTGGCCAGGGCTTGAAAGTAGTCAGAGTTCAAATCCCCCTCTTTTATGTCTCTCTCTAGCTCTCTGCCTGGCCTTGATTTCCTCTTTCTTCCGTATCTCATTTAGATCACCTGCAATCACTTTCAATCTAGCTTTAGAAACAGGGGAAAAAGGTTGAGTTTCTGCAAGAATGTCTAAACAATTATATTCAGCAACTAAGGCTCTCTTAGCCTTGTTTTGAGAGGCCTCATAATTAAGGCTCCACCCTTTGGTGGCTTTCCTAGTATTCCTAATCTTAAATTGCCAAATATCTATGGCAGAGGAGAACTGACATTCAGCATTCCAAGCTTTGTGGACAATCTCATCAAAGCCAGGAATTTCTAGCCACCATTTTTCAAATCTAAAAACTTTATTTTTGGGAATAGCTATAGCATCAGAATTAAAAATAAGGGGGGGTGATCACTCCCAATTCTAGGAAGAGTTTTAACCTGGCTAGCAGGAAAAAGTCTTTCCCAGTCAGCAGGGACAAAAATTATATCTAAAGCAGCTATGATTAGATTGTCTTGGTTATTGGCCCAAGTATACTTCCTACCAGCATTCTTAATCTCAATGAGTCCAAATTTATTAATCCAGTCATTGAAAAGATCAGCCCAGTGCTGATGAATAAGGTCAGTATTCTTCTTCTCAACAACTCTAATCAAATTAAAGTCTCCTCCCACAATAGTGGGACCAGCCCAGCTATCTAGGAGGTTGTGGAGTTCATTGATAAAATCAAGCTTAAGGTTGTCATAAGCAGAACCATAAACTGAGATTAGCCTCCAAACCGTGTTATTACACTTGTTCTTCAGCAAGCAGGAGATACTAAAAGTATGTGTATCATAAGCTAAAATCTCAAACTTATCTTCCTTAACCCCCACTAATAAACCTCCAGCAGTGTTATTAGCAGGCAACCAATTCCAGATAAAACCATTTCTAGAGTCTATAGCCTCTAGTTGATTAATGCTAAACTCGGTCTTTTTGGTTTCTGACAAACAAATAAAATTAGGGCAGTGAGAACTAATAATCTCCTGCACCTTAAGAGTTTTCAAGACCATTCAGGCCTCTCACATTCCAAAAGCAGCCCTATCATCTAAACCTAGTAGAAATTTTAGCTTGGCACTTTTTTGACCTCTGACTTTTAACCTCCATCCATAAGGAGGCATCATCATACTCTCTATCCATATTTGAAGCAGAGTGATGGTCAGATTCAGTGTCAAGGGAGCAACATAATTATAAACAGTGCAATACTCTTCCTTGGTGACATCAATGTCTCTAGGGAGGAACATATCAGGATTGTCCTGTTTAAACTTACCTAATCTATCCAACTCTAGTTTCTTAATAGCTTCAACATTATTGCTAACTTGAGAGGGATTATCTCCCATAACAATGCCAGCTTTGAGGGCTTTAGAAACTAGAACATCATTGTCCAGACAAGCAAAAGAATTATGGAAGATTTTGGGGTTATTACCTCTGGGAATCTCCAAGTTCTTCTTCTACTTAATCTCTTGAGCTTTGATCAAGGATGGTTTCCCATCTCTCTTGATCCTGTTACTCATCCTAGTGGATATAACAGGGCCCCATTTGCCTCCATCAACTTTAAGACTAGTTGTATGAGTAGGGCAGGGAATTAACCCCCCCCCCCCAAGAGAAACAGGAATACAATCTTTGTTGGTCCCTCCATCCTTGATAGTAGCTTCAAATTCAGGAAGAAGAATAGTACCAAAATTCTCCACTGGAGTTCTCTTAACAACTTGCAGGTAGCTTTTAGTCAGGGGAGCATCTTGGATTTTCAAGAAAACTGATCTCTCCAAAGGGCTGTTATTATTCACATCTTTTTGGAGAACAAATTAGGAGGAGAGATAGCAGCCAAGTTGTGGGTTTTGTTTCTAGACCCACTAGGAGCAGAGGCAGGTCTTGGCCTAAAGTTGGGATTCTTCCTGTTGTTGTCAAGATCATGTTCCATCTCCTCTCCCAATAGGTCATCATTACTGAACTCATCCTCTACCCCCTGCTTCTTGTTGTTGTCTTCCTCATTATTCTTGTGGTCAGGGGGATCAAAAGGGTTATCAGAATCCACAGGAGCTTCCTCATCAACTTTGAAAGCGAGCAAGAACAGTTCTTGCTGAATTTCAAAAAGCCCGTCTCTAGGAATCAGAGCAGGATCTCTAACATCAACCTGTACTCTCACCACTTCATAAAAGCTTCTAAAAATGCCATGCCAATCTATATTAGTAATGACACCCAGAGCAGCAGCAACTTGGGCAATCACAGACCAAGAGCACCAAGCAGGAGGCAGGCCCATAATATCCACCCAAATCTCAGTCAAGGAGTCATAAGCAGGTAGCTCTCCATGCCAGTTCTTGAAGGAAATTGACACACCTTTCTTCTTGAGGTTGATGGAGTCATAAGAAACTAGGTCAGTGTGTTTTTTTGTTGGGAGGAAATCTGACTAGATATTGAGAATTATCGGAAGCTCTGATCTGCCAAGGCCAGTTAGTCTTCCACATACTAGTGAAGCAAGCACCTAGCTCCTCAGCAGAAATATCACCTTCTTCAATAACAACCAGACCCACATTTCCAAAGTTCAGCCAGTCACTGTTGTTTTTTTCTCCAGTCTCAAGATGAAAGAAACCCAGGCCATTCCCAGCACTACCCCAGAATTGAGCAGCTGGGCAAGGTTTGTACCACAAGGGGCAAGCAACCATATGCTGACCCGAAACAGAACACATGAAGCAATTCTTTGGGACCTGGCACATACCTACATAGTGCCCAGGCAACCCGCAGTTGTAGCAGGTAGCGCCAATATACTTCGGGTCTACATTGTAAGAGTCAGGCTCATCAAAAAGCAAAGCAACCCGAGGAGCAGCAAGCCCAGCATATGTTTTCATAGGTTTCTTCTCTGCAGCATTCCTCTGCTTCTTCTTGTTTTTGCTCTGACCAGCCTGCCCATTACCAGAACCAGACCCACTACCAGCAGCCACGGGTTGTTGAATACCTTGAGGATATTGCATAGGAGCACATTGGTTGGGGGCCATGAAAGGGAATTGAAATTGTTGTTGATTTGGCCAAGGGTTAGCAGGATACTGTTGGAAACCAGGAGGAGGATATCCTGGGAACATCGCCCCCATCTGTGGATACATCATCTGCGAGCTAGAGGCCAAAGGGAAAATTGGAGGCTTGGCATATATGGAGATAGGAGGGTTTTGCTGTTGTTGGGCCATAGGGGGGCAAACAGGGGGGCAACAGGAGGGCAGCGGTGACCTGGGAAGGGGGCGAGACTCGTTCCGCCCCGGCTGCCATTGATTCTCCCACCTCCTCTTGCCCCCTGCCCCGCTCCAGCCATCTTGCGATCACCTTCGCATAGGTCTCTCTTCCTTCTCGCTTCGCCCAGAAATCGGCAGAGAAACTAAATCTCATGGGGACGTGGTGTCTGTCGGCGGCACCAGCAGGGAAGCAATCAGCCTCCGTGAAGCACTCACTCCTGAACTTATCCTTCCTCACCCAGACTAAGGAAGAAGGAGGAGGGGGGCGACGCAGACGCCGACAAACCCTAGCAGCCCCTGGATCAGGCTCGCGGTTGGTAGGTTGGGGAGGATTGGGGAAAGTGCTTTCCCTTTTAGCACCAGCAGCGGGCCCTGGTGCCATTCTCTCCCATGCCTTTGACCACCCGGGCCCTCCTAGACCCATCGCCCAATGCCGTGTTGACCAGTTTCTTCGGAGGCAAAACTGCGAACGGCGGTGGTGATGGCAATCTCCGGCGAGTAGCAACCTCTAAAATTGGAATAACAACAGCAGGGGAATGAGACTTACATCCGGAATCAGCCAATTTGAACTCCATCAGCGCGTTGCCCTTCGGAATGGCCTCCATCTCCTCCTCTGTTGTCTCGATGTGGAGGTCGCCTCCCCATCCGCCCACTGCAGAATCAAGGCAAGGAGAGCTCCCGCCCCATCGCAAAGATGGAGGCTCGCTCTAGCTCCGTGGTGTTCGCCATTGCCCGCAGCGCGAGATTCATCTTCGCCACAGCCAGCGCCTGTGTCGCCTGCTCCGCCGCCCTTGTCGCTCGATCCGCCGCACGCTCTCTCCGAGCCACCTCCGCGAGCAGCCGGCGTATCTCCTGATCCGCCGCAGCTCCTTCTCCTCCATCCATCAGCAGATCTGAGGATTTCCACCGCCCCCCGACTCTCCGCTTCGTCTGGATGAATCGCCACCGTCAAACCCGCACTAGCGCGAGTCTGCTGAACAAGAAAAACTTCCATTTTAAGAAATGCGCATCTAATTCTGTATCTCTTTTTACAAATTTCCACAACGCGCACGCGGGCGAAAACCAGAGGCGCGTAACGTTTCGTGTCAAGCAGATTAACCGCAAGATTTATGTGGCACAGCACGAGGGAGATGGTACCGTACGGCTCAATCCTCAATGGACAACGATGTGACATGGACGGACAACGGATCGGGAGAGCGACCTCACTGTACAACCCGCCACAGACCACAGAGAAGGCTCCCGGTGCCAAATCACGAAGCGACACCTCGGGGGCAAAGCAATCGTGCACACTTTCACTTCTCGCTCGCCGCACACGCACCGTGGGCGCGCTTCCTTCCTTTGCGTGTATATAAAGAAGAGCAGGACTCGCGGGATCAAGCCGGAAAGTGTGGCGCACGCGCACAGAGGGTTTCATGGCGGAGGAAGCTAAGGCGCCCGCCGACGCAACGTCGACGGTGGCGGAGGCGGCGCCGGTGACGGCCGAGCGGCCGGTCCGGGCGGACCTGGAGACACACCTCCCAAAGCCCTGTGAGTGCCTGCCCCGTTTCTTCCGTTCGTACGTGCATGGTAGTTTCATCAGCAAGGCAGTAACTAGTAGTAACAGGCATGGATGCATGCATGCAGACTTAGCTCGAGCTCTGGTCGTGCCGGATGTGTACCATCCTGAAGGAGAGAGCGGGGAGGGGCACGAGCACGGGCAGAAGAGCGTGCTTCAGCAGCATGTCGCCTTCTTCGACCTGGACGGCGACGGCATCGTCTATCCCTGGGAAACTTACGGAGGTATGTATTTGTATATGTTGCACGGTGTGATGATGGCCTGCTCGTAAAATTCATGTGAAGAAGCTCAATTAGTTTCAAAGGATTAAGTGGCGGGCATTTAGCTGCAGCTTGGCCAGAAGCTATCAAAAATTCAAAACGTACTTTGTTTCGGTACACCCTCCTTAAAAGTAGTAGTATAGAGCAGATTAAATGTGAAGATTAGAAATTACCCCTTCAATAAAAAGAGAGGGTAAAATAGTCCTTGTATCCATGTCAATCTATTCAGTAAGTTTGATCTGCAAGCTAATATGGCGATATCCTTTTTAAATAACTTCAAGATTCGTGTAAACTTTTAAGGGGGGGTCTGCTGAATTAAAACTCAAACTATATCGAAACTAAGATTCATTTTGTACTATTTTTCTTGAATCATGAAGAAAATAAGCATACAATCAGACATCATATGTAAAGTATCACATATATTTGACATACACATCTCCAGACATTAAAAAAAACACAAACATGCTAATTCAGTAGCCAAGTGTTGCATCAATGCATCCTATATATCGAAAACAAGAAGAAAGAACGAGACAGATGGATGGCTTTATGGAACTCACTTGCGCTATTCCTCTGGCCACGACGGCTTAGCGGCGCTAAATAACTTCAAATTCAGCGCTGTGACGGAAATTAGTGAGTTATTAACCTCATATTTAGAGTAGTGTGAAATATGCATAGCTTCAGTGACATGGCTCTTCAAAAATTATATTTTAGAACCACAAAATTTGACAGTGGTTGCCGTAGTTTATGTACTTATATTGCCTGAATTCCAGGAATGAGGGCATTGGGCTTCAACGTGATCGTGTCGTTCGTATTCGCAATTGTCTTTAATATTGGTTTCAGCTTCCCAACTCTACCTGTAAGTACAAAAAGATTTGAAATATTTCCTTGAAAAGTTTCAGCAGGCTCTTATTCATCCTTACTTTTCATAATGGTTATATATAGAGCTGGATACCATCTCCCTTGTTGCCCGTATACATCAAGAACATCCACAGGGGTAAGCATGGTAGCGATTCCTCAACTTATGACACAGAGGGAAGGTAAATCCACACTCCAAACTTGCTTACTACTAGTTCAAAACTTTGTTACACCATCTTTCAGTTCTGAAAGAGGTACGTTCCAACTGTGAAACAAATATAGGTTCATGCCGGTAAATTTCGAGAGCATCTTCAGCAAGTATGCCCGCACGGCGCCGGACAAGCTTAGCTTCGGCGACATCTGTAGGATGACCGAAGGCAACCGGCTGAACTTCGACTTCATTGGATGGTGAGCAGAGCACTCGCGAATTCTCATTTCATCGGCAGTTTACTTAGCAGTCAGTGATGCCAAATGAACTGCAGAAGCGTTGTTCCACTCATGTTTAGCCTGAACTGATATGTGTGTCCAGGATTGTGAGCAAGGGGGAGTGGATACTGCTGTACGTGCTTGCAAAGGACGAGGAGGGCTTCCTCTCCAGAGAAGCTGTTCGCCGCTGCTTTGATGGTAGCCTGTTCGAGTTCATCGCCCAGCAAAGGAGGGAAGCCCACGACAAGCAGCACTAGAGTTGCAACGCTGTCATCTTCGTGAGTAGGACTGTAGACCAGATGGATTACCTCATGTATGCCTAATATATGAAATAAGAGAGGAACGAGTATGAAGTTCAGAGAATAAAGTTGTACACTTCTCAACTAAACTTGAGAACATAAGTACTCTGCACTGTGGTTGTTGAATTTACTGTGATTGTTGATTTTTCTTACTTTATTTAGGGGTAGTTGTACTACAGCTGTGACAATTAATTTGAATAGGAGAGAGTACTAACTCGATTTTCTTTTGAGACAAGATTTTTTTTTAGAAGATTTATTTTCTTGAGGGAAGAGTACTAACTCGATTGTGTTTACGCTGCGGTGATTTCCCCATAAACGGCCCGGCCCAGCTAGTCAGACAAAAATATGGTCCATGTACACTCGGAAGGAAAAACAGATCGAAGAAGACCACTCACTCCTCGCTCTAAAAAAATGTTTTTTGGCCAGATCTAAATAACGAATTATTTAAAACACATCATGATTTTTTTAAAGTGGTGGATTTCAAAAAATATACTTACTAAATAAAATACTTGTGCATAATTAAAATAATCTTCACAGACATTATTCTCATGAAGAATAACTGTGCATAATTTAAAAATGTTCACAAATTTTATAGATATTCATAAAAATATTATAAAATAATTTTGCGTCATTTAAAATGTGCAAAAAAATTATAGATGCGCAAAAATATATTTTAAATTTTAGATTTTTTTTGGAAAACAGTCTTGCATTAAAAATTGGTGAATTTTAATTGTGTTTGTAAATTGTAAAAATAATTCATGTATTGTAAATGACTAAAATACAAGAAAAATAATAACCAAATAATTAAAAGGATGAAAAATAAAGAAAGAAAAATTGAAAAAATTGGCAAAAGTTTGAATAGAAAATGAACAAAAAAGGAAAACTAGAATAAAACAAGGGGAACTAATATTCTATTTGTGCTCCTATGCGAAGAAAACTATTTTATTTTTAGAAAATACACCTAAAAGGCGTCTTAAAACTGAGAATTGTCAATGAAGAAAGACAATAGCCAATATAATGAAGATACAAATGGACACAAAACGACCAATAAATATACTCCCTCCGTTCCTAAATATAAGTCTTTCTAGAGATTGCACTATAAACTACATACAGATGTATATAGACATATTTTAGAGTGTAGATTCACTCATTTTGCTCTGTATGTAGTTTATCGTGGAATCTCTAAAAAGACTTATATTTAGGAACAGGGAGTATAATACATTGTAAATCATACTCACTATCTTTTTTCTTCAATTATACGCCATCTATCTGAGATTGAAAATTGCATTGAACCGGCAGAAAAGGAAAGGGACACCTGCAAACGCCCTCGCCATACCAGGCCTTGAAGACCACAATAACCACTCGCCACTTGAAATGAGACCTAGATTTCGCCCAAGGAACATCGATTGAGGCAACACCTCATGCAACAGGCGTCATATTCTTCACCACCATTCTATGGTGTTGGAAAATTGGATCACATCATCGAATGTATAATAGGATATTCCCATGTTAACACCATGAATGCAAGCTTGTGGTGAATAGAAGAAGAACAAATACACTTATTGCGGAGACAAATGTTTCTTTACCCCTCATAAATGGGATCCTGAAGTACTTGCTTTATTTATGTGTACGAGTAAATTCCAAAGACTAGGGCGGTCGTGGTATTCAAGATCACCAAGATAAAAAAAACAGTTTGCTCAGCAAATACCTTTATAAGCTTTTGACAAAGGATGATGTATAGTAAACCCTTTTGTGCATCAAGTATCCAAGCTCAAATCCTTTTCCAAGGCATATAGGAAACCTGTAGACTGACATTTTTTGGCGTGTTGATCACGGTGAAGAAACATCTCTTCCGTTTTGGATCTTTTGCAAAGGAATGGCTTGGAGATACATTTCGGAGAGGATACATGGTCGGGTAACACCACTCTTCGAGAACAATATCTAGCCCTAGACCATATTGCTCACGATAAAAGTAAGTGCAGTTGTTTTGAGCACATCTTCGCCTAATATTTATTTTAAGCAGGATTTGGTCGATCTCCACCTTGTGTCAAGGCACTTCCTCTTGGGGGACTGGTTGTGATCCAACTGATACAAGGCCGGGACGAATTCCGCTGGCACCTTACATAGAATGAAACCTTTACATAAGATTGCATGTACATGGCGCTTACACACTCTGAGATTACGCAATAACGAAAAGACTTGGATGTCAAAGGTACCACTAAAAATTAAAATTTTCCTCCGATATCTTTCTCGAGGAGTGATCCTAACAAAGAACAACCTCGCTCGCCACAATTGGCTAGAGATTAATATTGTTATTTACGTCATCACGATGGGACTATTAAACTTTATTTTGGCAATGTGAATTTACGCATTCTATATGGTTGGTGATCCAAGTTGCCCCCAACTTACCTAGCCCCCCGCAATGTTTGGATGTTGGATGGGTGGAGTTCCACAAAAGTTCTGCGTGTCTATTAGGGTGGGAGTGCCAACCCTGATTTGCTATTTGAGTTTTAGCGGTAAAAATTCCCCTCCCCTTAGGTTAATTTTCGGTTTACACACTAGCTCCGGTTGTGATGTTCTCTGGGGTGTTGTTTACAATGATGTCTGTGCGTGCGGGTCGGAGCATGTGAGCAAAGTGTTGTTACCCAACATTGTTGGTGGCATGGTCTTGGGATAGGTCTCCCACACTCTACGCCGTAGGTTTAGTTTTGCTTGCAATGGCTGTGCTCATTTGGGTTTGACTCTGTGGATCTTGGTTGTGTAGAGGCTGGCGTGTACTTATTATGTTTTCTATTCTCTTGATGCCACATTTTAAGTTAATAAAATACGCCTTTTATCAAAAAATGAGTGATTAAGGGAAAATCAGGATATCATTGAGACCAGGCCTCATGTTTATTTTGTAGTGCGGATTCAGCTGCTTGGTTTGGTTTCACTATATTTGGTATGCCAATTATTTAGATGCATCATAAGAGTTATTTTAGGATTTTTGCAATATCATATTTTTTGTATTTTTGTTACGGGATTGCTAAATCTCAGTCGACTGAGACTTAACCAAGTCTCAATCAATGCCATATTCATTTACATGAAGATCCGTTCAAAATTTTCTTTTTAGTCTTTTTTTCTTTTTTACTCCCCCCGTCTTAAAATAAGTGATACTCCCTCCGTTCCAAAATAGATGACTCAACTTTGTACTAAAGTTAATACAAAGTTGGGTCATCTATTTTGGAACGGAGGGAGTACATGTTATGTCACTTGACTTAGACTTGATTAAGTCTCGATCGACTGAGACCTAGACACTCCTTTTTGTTAGCATAATTGTACGTAAAGTAACCGATGAAGTTGTTTTGGGTTGTGCCCATGCCCAACGACAACGAAATGTATTCATGAACATAGAGACAACAGTAAACAGAAGATGCATAGTACTATATCACTCGAAGAGGATAAGTCTTACATGTCGTAATGCATGTCACCCAGCATGATGATGGATGCAAAACTGCTAATTAGGGGAGAAACTACCGCACCCCTCTTTGGCTGTAATAAGTATTAAGCCGACTGACTTGATCAAACCTTCAGCTCTTATTTTGCCGTAGTAACTTTTTTTTTGGAAAAGGGAGTACCCAGCCTCTGCATCACAATGCACAAAGCCATTTTTACCGTAGTAACTGAAGACAGCTTATTATACTAGAAGAACCAAATGCAGCATCCCCAGCACCAACTAAGATTAATTAGTTAATCAAGCTAGGTCCACCCTCAAGCTTAATTAACTAACCAATTAGTTAAGGTGGGTGATGCATGAAATGAGATCACTTGCATGTGGCGACGAGGACCCTCCTGGGCGCCAGCGACGGCCGGCGGCCGTGGAGCGTTGCGAGGTTGTCGAGGATGAGCACGTCGCCCTTCTCCCACCGGAACTGGATGCTCTCCTCCTCGATGATCTCGCCGCACCGGCGCACGAAGTCCGCCGGTATCTCGGAGCCGTCGGCGAACGTGGCGGAGCTGAGCTCCTTGCCGTGCATCCCCACCACCGTGTTGAACCACATCCGGCGGCCCTTCCGGCCCGGGAACACCCGCGTCAGCTGCCTCGGCCCGAGGATGGTCCTCACGCCGCCTTCCTCCGGCAGCCACTCCACGTCCATCCCCAGCGCGCGGGCTCTCTGCTCCGCCACGGCCTTGTCGGTGGTGGCGAAGGCGTCCTCCCACCCTCGCCCCCGCATGGACTTGGTGTCGTCCTTGCTCAGCGCGGTGAAGGTGTAGCGGAGCCCCTTGGCGTCCAGCTCCTCCACCATGTCCGGGAACTCCTGCAGCGCGCGCTCCGTCACCCGGAAGCTCGGCACGAACGGCGTCTCCCCGCCCTCCGGCGGTGGCACCTCGCAGAACAGGATCACCTTCCCCGGGAACTCCTTGATCTGCACGTCAATTCGTCACACAACAACACAGCGGCAATGGCGACGTCGCCGTCCGTCCATCAATCAATGGCGAACGAGCGATGGAAGCAAGCAAGATCGAGGTGCAGGAGTACTTACGAGGACCATCTCGTGGTGGTAGTAGATGAACTCCTCGAGGGGGCCCTCGTTGGCGGTCCAGATGCGGCCGTGGACGTGGGTGCGCGGGGCGGGGCCGACGTACCGGATGTCCGGCCACCCGAGCGCGTCCACGATGGCGTCGAACTCCACGGCGTCGCGCACGCCGAAGCCGCGCAGCAGCACGCCGCTGTTGGCCACCACCTTCTCCTCCACCCACTCCCGGTTGGCCACCAGGGCCGCCACCAGCGCCTTGTGGTCGTGGCCGCTCACCTCCTCGCTGCCCGGCGTCAGGACCAGTGGCACCTGCTCGCCGTCGATCTCCACCTGGCCCTTGCACTCGCCCAGGCCGAAGAAGCCGTCGCGCGAGGCGGCGACAACAGCTGCAGCTTCTCCCATGGCGCCGGCCTAGCTTCTAAGCTCCGATGCGTGGATTGA